CGTGCTCCGAAGAAAGACAAGAAGAAGGGTCAAGCAAACATAGTTGAAAAGCATGATGATGTTGATGACTTATGTGCCATGCTTTCCGAATGCAACTTGGTGGGCAATCCTAAAGAGTGGTGGATTGATTCTGGAGCCACTCGCCATGTTTGTGATGTTAAAGAAGCTTTTGCTGCTTATGCTCCTGTTGGACCCGATGAGACGATTTCTATGGGAAATGCTTCAAAGGCCAAGATTGAAGGATGTGGGAAGATATTTCTAAAAATGACTTCCGGCAAAGGGGTGACTTTGAACAACGTCCTTCATGTTCCCGAGATTAGGAAGAATTTAGTCTCTGCTGGACTTCTTGTTAAGAATGGTTTTAAATGTATTTTTGTTTCTGATAAGGTTGTAATAAGTAAGAACGAAATGTTTGTAGGAAAAGGTTACCTCACTGAGGGCCTTTTCAAGCTGAATGTAATGGTTGCTGAAAATAATAATAAAATTTCAGCTTCGTCTTACTTACTTGAGTCAAATGAATTATGGCATATACGTTTGGGAAAAAAATAATTGATTATTAGAAAGTAGTATATCATGAAAGGCTCAAGGGTGAGTCCACTTAGACTTATTATGCCATTGTATAAGGGTAAGACATCAGGTTTGAGTCCTGGTGCACTATGATGATAAGAGTTAGATTTGAGTCCCAACTCATTATAGCCTTACATGCCTTTATATGGGTAAATCATTGGGTTTGAGTCCCAATGCACCATATTGATGATATAATGATGACTAAAGAAAAATAAAGTATTTTTCATGAAAATGTTTGAAGCTTGTCCCACTTGATTTGCTTCATTCTTGAAGTGAATGAGTAGCTAATGGTGCATAATAAGTCTAAATAAGACAAGTGGTTGACCAATGAACGTGGGTGTGCCAAAGACCAAAATCATTATGGTAAATGCAAAAAAGAGAACAATAAGGGTTCTCAAAATAATCCTTCAAAGGTGAAGGAATTGTCTATCAATATAGTCTGTAAATATGAGGCACGCTCAGACGATTATAGTCCATTTTTGAAAGAATGCGACTTGTGACAAGCATTGCAAATGCAGGCTCATTCCTGAAGTAAATGTTGAAATATATATATGTGATAAAAATTATGCATAAGAATGTGCTTATGCATGGTTGTATAAATACCACAACTCACCTCTAAGGGAGGTTTGAGAGAAATAAAGATAATATTACAATGTGGTTACATGAATATGTCATTGGTCGCGTACACGTGGTACGCCTAAAATATTTTACCATGCCTTATAAAAAGTTATTAAAGGCAAAAGTAAAGCAAGAAATGAGTCTTGTCTATAATGTTTTTGATTGTGACAATGATAAGATAATTTTTTTCGTGGAGGAAAAATTCACCACTTGGATGGTGGTATAAAAGATCTTGTAGTACAAAATTATTGAGAGCTTCGAAAGAGCGAATTTGTTACTACCCGAATAAATAAAATTATTCATGGCATTGGTGGTAGTAAGTCTCAAAAAGGAACTTTTTGAGTTTCAAATATATTAGCCAAAGTGGTTGGCATATTGAGACTATAAATGAAAGGAAGATTGAATATCTTCATATTACTATATTCATACCGGGTAAATATGAAAGGTTACCCGATTTTTCTTCTATTTGTACTACAGATGTATAAGCATCCTGATGGAATCACATGCCATAAGTAAACTAGAGGTTTATTGAAACAAATATTAGTTGGCATGACCGGTTGACCATCCCGGTTCAATTATGATGTGAAAATTGATTGAGAATTCATATTGGCATATATTAAAGAAATAGAAGATTCTTTAAGAATTCTCTTGTGCGGTTTTTTTTCTCATGATATACCAGTTAAGGTTGGGATTGAATCCCTTGATATCTGGAACGAATAAAAGGTGATATATATGTATGGGCCCAATCACCTGCCATGTGGATCGTTTACTATTATATGATTTTAATAGATGCATCTATTGTATGGTCACATATGCGTTTGTTATCAACTTGCACTTTGGTTTTTGCAAGGTTGTTTGCTCAAATTATTAGAGCACAGTTCCAGAATATATATTATGATAATTTATCTTGATAATGCTGGTTTAAATCCAAGTTGGTTTAGCAGAAATTGTATGCCTCCAATTATAGCTAAACCATTGTTTATGAGAACAAAACTCCAAATAGAAATTTTGTATTAAGTATATTATTTAACATACAACAACACTTGTACGCATCTAGCCAACAAGTTATAATAAATTCTCCCCATCACAATTGGTTCAGGGTCAGGAACCAAATATTTTCATCTAGAAATATGGATGTACTATATGATTTAATTGTGCCACCACAATGCACAAAGATTGGTCTCAATGAAGGTTGGGGATATGTGTTGGTGATCCCAACATTAGGGGGAGAAAATGAGCAGCTGAAAAAAAAAAGTAATACATGGAATGAATTATTATGAGTATATTAGATCCTCGTACAAGAAAATATGAACTTGAAGTTCAAATGATAATTCATTTGCAAAATATTTCCATGCGCATTTGCTGACCCAAACTAAATGTCATATTTCAGCTACTAATGCTCCAAATAGAATAAAGTCCATGATGGACATAGTCTATGGAACTCTTGAAGCGTAATAGACTAATCGGTTCCAAAGATAAAACTCCTTGAAGAAGGAGAGGAGCAAATGTTCAAGATGGTCATAATAAGGAGGCAAGTGCTTTATAAGAGCACCATGACATAACATTTTATAAGACCTCATGGGAGAGGCTCAGGTACTTGAAAATAATGAGATCTCGATAAGTTATGCCTTTATTATGTGATGATGGAACCGATGTAAAATGATCGTTGACGATGTTGTTAATGTAATGTAGCGCTCAATATTATTAATATTGACGAGGATCTTGAGCTCAAATCTGGCATGGAATTTGGACAGATAAATGATTGGCCAAATGAAAAATATGCAATGAAAATTGACTTCACCTGAAAAATGTGAAGTTAGACGGATACTCCCCACACCTGAAAGTGAAATGAAAAATCAAGTCGATAGACATAAAGATTATTTGTGGCACAAAATTTTCGTAAATATCCTGGTATTAGGAGACATGTTCTCTTGTGGGGAATGGAGTCATTTCAGATTTTGGTCTGACAATACATTTGATATGCATATAATGAAAATCCTTGAATAATTTAAATTGTTCTGAAGTATATTAAGGATCCCAAGAAATTTATTAAATAAATCTTCTGCATAACCTTATGTAGATTAGAGCGATCATGGCATACATGATTTATTTTTGTGTCTAGTACAATTGGTACACTAATATATCTGGCTAGAACCATGAGTATAACAATATGCTAGCAAGATATAGTTTTATTCCAATGTGGAGATATTGGAATACAATTAATATTATATTTCAAAAGGAATACTTGATATAGATTTGTTTATTCTAACAAATATTGTCAAGGTTTTGTTGGTTATACAAATGCAGGGCATATTTCGTTGTTCAAACAATCTATTTCCATAGAGGACGTGTGACTTTTCTTTGAAGAGACGATTCCAATAATATTGAAGACGATGCTGCTTGCATAGCTCAATTGAAAGAACGATATATTGAAGAAGAAAAACTAAAGCACATTTAGCCAAAGTTTCTTTGCAGAGATGATCTTCAACAGAATGATGAAACAGATGTTCAAGAAATTCGTTCAAGTGATAATTTGACGGAGTAATTTACCAAGGCATTGCCGATCTCAATATTAAAGAAGTTGTTATACAAGCTTGGAATTCGCCGTCTCCGAGAAATAAAGTGATATTTTCATCAGGGGGAGGCAAATACGCGTTATACTCTTTTTCCCTTAGCTAAGGTTTTATCCCACTGGGTTTTCCTGGCAAGGTTTTTAATGAGGCAGCAAGTAATGCGTATTACAAGATATGTGTACTCTTTTTCCTTCACTAAGATTTTTTCCCACGGGGTTTTTTCTAGTAAGGTTTAACGAGGCACATTATCTATAGACATCCAAGGGGGAGTGTTGTGAAATATTATATTTTGTAGTGGATGTCTATAACTCCTAAAGAAGTTACTCCCACTACTCTTCTCCATTAACCTCCCACTATTCTTCACCATTATGGTTGTAACTCCCATAACTCTATAACCTCCTCCATGATCTTCCTCCATGATCTCAAATGTTTAATGTCATGTTTATGGCATTCTTTTGTATGCCTCTATGTAATCCTATAAATAGAGGGTTTTGGCATCACATTGTATACACTTGAATACATAGAAGAAATAAGATTATCTTCTCTCTTTCTCTCTACATTGTTGTCTATTCTATATTATTACTTTGAGCTAAGTTTTTTAACATCATGTATTTTATTTACCAATTTTTCGTATTATTTTTTTGTTGATCTTCAGTCCCATGAAAGATACAAATGAAATCGATAAATTAAAAACTCGACATCAATGTCTCTACAAAATAACATATGATATAAGGAAATACCAATCGACTCGATACATTGTCTCAACACTGTAATTAAAACGAATAATTGAATATTAAACAATTTCCCGATATAGAAAGCTATCAATCCTTTTAGAACAGACTGATTGAAAAATAGTGTTACTCCATATATTAACAACACTATATAAATATGGAAATTCTGAACATAGACAGGCAAACGAGTCAAGTAAACATGAGAAAGAAATCGCCGTGTTTATTTTATTCAAATGAGAAAAAAACAACAAATGTTAATGCAAACTTTTATTTCATCTATCTACAATAAATTGTCCGAATAGCCAATACATACTCTCCTAAACAAATACCTAAATCACATTTGGAAAATACTTAAATAGGAAGTGTTTATCAGCCAAATGAGAAGCTCCTTCTCAGTAATTGGATGGAATATTGATATGAACACTTCCTATGTAAGAATTTCCCATTATCTCCTTATAAGCAACATATGTAAAAAAAAAATTGATCTGATATATCAATTTTTCTTGACTAATTAAGCATTAAAATCAAATTGCAAAAGTGACTGCATGAAGGAGTTGATCTCATTAAAAATATTCATATCCTCTCCTTGGTCATGACCACCAAATTCTTGAGTGTCAAAATAAGTTTTTATATCCTCCGGGAAATTACTTTGTGGTGGATCAAAAAGCTCAACAGGTTCAGGGGGGCACTCAGCTGCCAATGTCATTTCCATCATTTCCTTGAATTTTGTAGATTGGAGCAATAGTCCGAGGGCTGACGTGGCAGAAGGTAGTCGAGTTTGAGTTACCGAGACATCGGGCATGGTGGTACTCGAGGTAAGTTGGAAGTGGGAATAAATTAGAGCCGCTGAGGCAGAGGCAGAGGCAGAGACAGAGGTGGTCGTGGTCGTGGTCGTGGTCGAGGTTGATCCAATACTATGATTTGGAGTTGGAATCATATTAGTTTCATTAGGATTTGGTTGATCAATGGTATTGTTGTTGTTAGGTTTTAGCCATTTGATGTAACGGCTAAGGTCAAAATTTGTCACAGCATTAAGTCCACGATATTCAATAGCTGCCATATCATATGCAGTTGCAGCCTCTTCTTGTGTAGCTGAAAAACAAAAAAGGAATAATCAATTAAGAGAATATGCAGTTGCAGCTCTTTTGGTAATTCTTTAATTAATACTTAAGTTAAATCACTTCTGAAAACCTCGTAACACCATTGCCAATTATAATTCAGTGTTGTATCACTCAATTATTTTTACTTCTATTTATTTATAGTATATAAAATAATTTTTACTCTTATGAACCTAGAAAATAAGTCAAGTTTTCATTTACCACAATGCATTAAAACACATTATTAGTAGCTTACCGAGGACATGACTCTTGAGGTCGAGAATTATGGTAGAAGGTTAGTAGGTAGTCGAGTTTTTCCTTTTTCATAAATGTAGTATTATTATTATTATTCGCAAATTTTCTTACACTTAGATGGTTTAGTACCGGTTATCTCTTTTGCTTCCATATCTTATTATTATGATGTTGTTATTGCTTCTTATTCCTGTTTTTTTTCCATGCCGCTCTTGTAACTGTAAGTGGCTATGCTTTTTCTGAGCCGATGGTCTATCGAGAATAATATCTTTATCTCCATAAGATAAATGTAAGGTCTGCATACGTACTGTTCACTATGCTCTCCACTTGTAGAATAACACTGAGCTTGTTGTTGTTGTTATTCAAAACACATCATTAGTGTGAAAACAGTAGTTGGTGAATGTAATAAAATCCTTTAGAATGACTTTATATTAGGAAATGTACGTGTTTCTATATATGGAAAGGTTTACTGATACTTACCGTATGTTCCGAGGTAAAGGTACTTATTGCCGAAAACTCTGCCGATTCGTGCTTCCCATCTTCCATTGTGATGATGTCTGTGCATTGACATGAGATGAAGATTTCGGAACAAGTATAACGAATGATATATTTAAACATTTTCTTATAGTTCATAGGTATAATTGGCCATTTGCCGTATTTTTTTTAACGAATCCAAGAATTAAAGTCAAAGTGTTATACTCTTTATATATGTGTCAATTTTACACGATATAGTTTGAACTAGATGTGACAAAAAATATTTTGGTACCTTGCAACTCCACGATATTTCGAAACTCCTCTTGAGAATCCACTGCTCTTCCTACAATTTTGGAACTCATCAATATTATGCTAATGAATTATGCAAATAAATAAGTTGGAAATTAAAAAAAAAACTTTTAATTTCTAGTGAAAGAGAAATAACATTCACTATTCAACTTACATACCTTCTCAAAGATCCAATATATTCTTCCCTTGACTGGCCCTCCATTTCTATGATTTCCTTTTCATAGGTTGATAGCTAATAGAATAAATCAATATCAGTACCTTCATTTATTTTTTTATTTTTTTAAATATATTTGTGTGTAAAAATCTGCAGTACTATGCTTCAACGGATATTAATTAAATGAGTTATTACCGGAAAATTAAGAATGGTCTCACTTCCCCAGTATTTAAGTGCAGCCAAGTCATAAGCATGAGCAGCTGCTACTTCATCATCATACGCACCTATAGAAAAATTACCATATTTTAAACCAACATTTATTCCTTTACCAAATAAAAGGAGATAATTAATACTTTATTTTAAATAATAAAATCAAGAAATTTTGGCCATGGAACTTACCTAGATAAACTGCATTTCCCCAGGAGAGCCCCATTTCAAAGGAACCCAAAAAAAATATTTTAAAATCATCAACTCTTAAAAAGAAATAAATAATTTAATGGTGGGAAAAGATTCAAGATTATGAACCTTGTCTTCCTTTCTTGTTTTGAGATTCATTCCAGCAATTCTTATCCCATAAATGAGCTTCATACCTACCCGTCCATCGATGCCTGAATCAATAAACATTTTTCGGAACCTTACATATCGTTTTATAATGTATCGTATCGTACTGTATCGTTTGATGAATACAATGTTTAGATAGATTGTGTTATTTGTCATCGTTTCATGATATCACTCACCAACAATATGAAGAATAAACTTACAATTAATATTGTAAAGAAAAATTATGATGAAGGGTGAGATTGAGAGAAAAAGACAAGGTAACAACGCGACTACACTAAATCAGTCGTTACATATAGCGGCACATTTTGTCGTTACGTAACGACGATTTAACAATACGATACAATAAAATTTAAGTAACAATCAAAACAAATATTGTGTTTAAAATAATAATACGATACAATACAATAGGTAACAACCATCCGAACAAACGGTAAAAGTAAAAGGTTAGGTGCTACTTCCTTGGTAATTAAGTATCTCATCCAACAAAATTTGAACAAAAATCTCTCGTGCTTTTTTAAGACATGAGTTTTGGATTCAACAATTTAATTAACAAAATCAAGGATTTTACATGAAGATATAAAATAATTCACATGCATGCCGAGTGTTTGATTGGAGAGTAAAAAAATTCGAAAAAGCATTATTAAGATTGATATAATAATATTAGAAACTCGGTATTATTTTGGTGAAACTTCTTAGTAATAAGATTGGTGATAATGTCCAAATGTTGATTAAAACGGTTATAATATAAAGTTAAGATATGTGATAATCGTGAAAGAAAATAACTTTCCAAACTTGACAAATTCATAGTTTCCTCTTTTTGGTGATAAATAATTTCCCTGAAAAGTAATGCTTTGACAACCGAACATTAAAAAAAACGGAGAACATTTCTCAAAAAGTATTTTCCGTCGTACCAAATACACTAAAATCAAGAAATTTACATGAAAATACAATATAATTTACACATGCATGAGAAAATTCAAGAAAAAAAACCTGGTGACTCCACGATAAATGGAGCTACGTTGAGGAGGAGAATCTCTGGGAACAGTTTTTCTAGTTCTTTTCACCTTAAGAACTGAACCATTTGTAGTAGTAATATTAGTATTTGCATTATTACTATTATTGTTAGAACTGTTCCTCTGATTAATTTGCTGTGATAACTTCGCCATCAAAAGTTATATTTGAAAGCAATGACTCTGTCAATGGAATGACTCAGTCTTCCAATGAAGAGGGCTTATAAAGGACATATGTCTAATTAAAATTTAAGATTTTGTTAGTTTATTGATTTTCCTAATTATTTAATTAATTAAAGATGATGATAATTTTTAAGAGGGAATTAATGTATTAGAAAATGTTGTGCTGTCAAGTTAAGAAAATAGCCGGCAATATATGTGATGTTTTTTTGTTGCCGTCTTAATGTGGCCTGCATGATTTTTTCCTACTTGTCTTAACTTGCTTTTGTGGTTTGTGCTATTTTTGCATTTGTGTATTGAACAGTGTTAAATGTAATATCAATATGCTTAAGATTTACTGGATTTAATAATGTAATTCCATTCGTTACACTGTCTTTTAGTATGTAACAATGTTTTTGGTTTATATTGGACATGCACTTCCATTTTCTTAAGATATGTTATCTTTTTACAATAGAATAGATTGCTAATCGTCATCGTCTCAAGATGTTTGCGACCAAATAAAGTGATTGATTGCATGCACGGGCGAAGCTATGTTGATCAAGGGTTGTCAACTGAACATTCTTTGCCGAAAAATTATATTTTCTCCGTTCCAATTTATGTGAATCTGTTTGATTGGGCACGGAGTTTAAGAAAAAATGAAGACTTTTGGAATTTGTGGTCCTAAACAAGTTAAAAGGGGGCCCAGAGTATTTGTGTGGTTATAAAAGCTTCTCATTAAGGGTAGAATTGTAAGTTTAAGCTAAATTGTTACCAATTTAGAAAGTGGTCATTCTTTTTGGAACGGACCAAAAAGGAAATAGGTTCAAATAAACCGGAACAGAGGGAGTACTATGTATAAGGTAAACATTACGTTCATCCTTTGGATACCCGTATAACCATCGAAGGTTATTGATTAAAAATAGACTTTAAACACCCTTACATGGCCACTGGCAAAGGGTGTTCAAAATTTGAACACCCTTATTAAATTTTCTGGCTTCGCCCCTGATTGAATGCTTATGAATTAAGGAACTAATATATCTATGTTCAAAAAAAGATTAATCTACTCCAGTTCTTTCAAGAATTGAAAAAAAGATTGTATTTTTGTATAGATTTTTATTCTTTTGAGTATTGATAAAGTTAAGAACTCGTCAATTTCTGTTGATAATGGGTTTTTATCAATTGTATTCACTTTTTGTTCAAATTCTTGGTAATCAGTATTCGGAAGAAAGATAGTATGAATTCTATTTATTCTAACTCTCTCTTTCAAATTTTCTAGCGAAGTTTTGTTTATGATTGAACGTGAAAACTTGTTTTTGATTGTTCCTCGATATGGTCCATCTAACAAAGGATCATACATTTTAGGCACGTATTCTTTTTTAATATCATCATTACACAATCTAGTCCTTGTTTCGAGTATATCGAGAGAAAAAGATTCCTTGTCTAGAACTTCAAGTCGATTTAAAAATTTCTTATTCAGATTATTACTTTTTTCTTTGTTGGTAGAAATTCACTGATTGTCCAGTTCATTAGGGAGCATTTTTTGGAGTGACAATAGGGGTATCCTTCTTTTTATCATTTTTCAAAAAGTTGATAAACTTGGCGGGTATGTAAAAGATATTCTTTGTTTTTCATTACTTTTACATGTATCAAAAAAATATTGTGATATTTCCGTTCTTACGGTCTGTTCAAATCAATTATTCTTTATGTAGCGAAATGGTCGATTCCATCGATTATTATCGAAAAAAAGACTCACAAGAGGTTGTTGAAATCTGGCGTTAAAATATTGATCACCTATAATTATATTGAACGGAGAGTTACAATATCAGTTACACGTCCGAACGAATTCAATAACTTTTGATTACAAAATTCACTAAATATATATAAAAAAAAATTATTGTCAAGAGGATTATATTGATAATTAAGTGCGAAAAATACATGAGATAATTTAAGGGAGGTTCGACGTGCCAGATGCATCATAATGTGGATGCGTGAGGGTAAAGGGGGGGGGGGGTCTTCAAAATACAAGATTGGGTGTGAGGGTGATCCTGCATTTAATTTTTCAAATTGTGCATCCGCAACTCCATTGTTTTCTATCATTGTATGGTTGAGTTGATGGATGTTGAGTTCCCGGATTATTGACCTACAAGATGTTATGAGCTGTAAGTATCTTGGGCTGCCACTATGAAGTATTTGAAGTATTAACTGTGAGTCTGTTTCAACAATTAATGGACGAAGGCTTCATTTGGTAGCAATAGTCAGTCCATGGTAAAGTGCTAGTGGTTCACCCTGTAGGGCAATTTTACTTGGTAAATGTACTGCAAAGTCGTAGATCCATTGCCCTATGGAGTCATGAAAAACACCTCCTGATCCTCCATGATGATTTGTAGGGTCATAAGTCCCGTCAATGTTGAGTTTATAGTGTGATGACTGAGGTTTAGCCCGAGGGATAATTTCTCTCTTAGCCTTAGTTTTTTTGTTAGGGATATTTGCTAAATAATAGACTTGAGATGCTAGTGAGATAATTGTTGAGGTGTCTATTAGGTGATTTTGTTTTTTTGAAGTGGTTATTATCGCGGTTTAGCCAAAATTGCCACAGGAGGATGGGAGTTAGACTTGAGTTTGCAGTGTAGAAAGATGTGTGGGATGTCCTCTCTAATGTTAATACAATTCGGGGAGCATGGGTTGTTAGTGATTTTCCTATGGTATAGAAGTGATTTGGTTGGGAGTTTCTCATGTGAAAGAATCCATAAGAAATATTTTATTTTTGGTAGTGTGGTTAGTTTCCAGATCCAATTGTTGGGGAAGTTTGTTTTGGGGTGAGTGTCTTGATGCAGTATATATAGGTAGGCTGAGGAAGTGGTAAAAGATCCATAATTTGAGTGGTGCCAGTAGGATGTATCTTCTCCTTGTTGGGTTGTAAGGATGGGTGTGTTTTGTATGAGGGACATGATTTGTGGGGTAACGGAAAGGAGAGATTAGAGGTGTCCCAGTTAGAGTGTGAGATGAGATGTGCCACTGGTTTATGTAGTTCGTGTTTAGGGATAGGTCACTGGATTAGGTGTCTAAGAGATAAGTTATTTGCAATCCAGTGGTCAAACCAAAGGTTTATATTTTTACCATTGGCTATGTTCCAACTGGTTCCTGTGCGATAATCATAAATGTTTTTTGATCATGCTTTTCCAAACATAGGAGTTGTTAGGGCGGGTTTTTTTATTATATAGAAAGTTTTTAGAATATTCTTGTGGATGGTCACATTTTGCTAATAAGATGTTTGTCCAAGGAGAATTGTTGGAACGTGTGTAACCCCAAAAGAGATTTGTTAGCAAGGATTTATTTTTTTGGGATAGTTTTTGTATTCTCAAGCCCCCTTCGAATTTTGGTGTAGTGATCTTTTCCCAGTTTATTAAATGCAATTTACATTTTTGATCAGTTGAGCCCCATAGAAAATTGCATTGAATTTGTTCTAGTTTGTGTATTAGTTTGGGTGGTAGTAGATTAATTTGCATTGCGTATGTAGGGATTGTATTTAGGACCGGTTTGATTAGAGTTGTCCTTCCCACTACGGTGAGAAATTTTGATCTCCAACTAGATAGTTTTGAGGTGACTCGATCAATAATGTATTGGTAATCAGATGTTTTAGGTTGGTTGTGTGTGATTGGTACTCCTAAGTATTTGCTTATATTTTTGGTAATGGGGATATTTAAGGAACTTGATATCACTTGGCTAAGAGAAGGATTTACATTAGCTGAGAAAAGAAGCTTTGATTTCTGGAAGTTAATTCTTTGTCCAGATTTTTACACTTAATTGCTGGAATATGTCAATTGTTGTAGCAGTATTGGAAGTGCTTGCTTGTGCTAGTAGGATGAGGTCGTCTGCAAACATGAGGTGCGAAAGTGGTTGAGCAATTTTATTTAGGTATATGGGCGTCCACCGGCAAATGTCTATATTGTGCTCAATAATGCAGGATAATGATTCTATACATATGATAAATAGGTATGGTGATAGCGTCTCCTTGTCCTATACCAGAGGGTTGAAAGAAGGGAGTGGGTGTTCCATTGATAATTATGGATACGGAGGAAGTTGTAACATAGAATATTATGAGGTTAATTAAGGGTTACGGAAAGCGTAAGTGCTGTAGGGAAAAACGAATGTAGGACCATTCTAATCGGTCGAAAACTTTTTCGAGGTCAATTTTTATCATCATATTTCCTTTTTTGCCTTGTTGTGTTTTAAAAGAATGTATGATTTTCTGAACAAGGATGATACTGTCAGCTGCCTTACGGCCTTTGAAGAAGCTGCTTTGAGTTGGATTGATTAATTTAGGAAGTAGAGGTTTAATTCTGTTAACAATAATTTAAGTAATAATCTTGTATATGGTCTTGCAAAGGCCAATTGGTCTATATTGGTGTATGGATTCTGGAAAGTTAGTCTTAGGGATTAGGATAATATTAGTTTTATTTATTTCGGAAGGGATAGTGGATGCTTGGAAGGCTTGTTGGCAGGTGTGTATTACTGCTTGCTTTGTTTCAGACCAAAATTTTTGGAAAAAATGAGGTGCAGTCCATCTGGGCCAGGAGCTATGAGAGGTTTGAATGAGTTTACTGAATTTGTGATCTCTAAAATAGATAGGGGTCTTTGTAGTACTTGGATGTCATCATTTGTGAGTGAGTTTGAGAAGGCAGGAATAAGTTTATTTTGGCAGTGTGTTAATTGAGTAGTAAAAAGGTCTTGGTAGTAATTAAGGATTGCGTCACGAATAGTTTGGATGTCAAAAGTCCAATTTCCTAGTGAATCATGGACACTTAGGATTCTATTTTGTCTACATCTTATTATTGTGGAGAGGTGGAAGTAAGATATATTAGCATCTCCGTCATTAAGCCATTGGACGCGGGATTTTAATTTCCAGTATTCTTTCTCTAGTCGAAGTAAGTTATTGAAATCCGTGATTAGTTGATTTTCAAGATTATAGTGGAAAGAGTTTTTATTTCCTGGTTACA